TTAGTCATTGCAAGATGAGTTCACCATGTGTCAGCTATCATCAGAAAGTATTCCTGAAATTGGAAGCTTAGTACCTCCAATTGATACATCTCTGCCAATTAACAAGCAACAGGCCTGTAAAATTGTACATAGCACAATTATGTGGTTGATGAATGTACAATGTTTTCGATAGAGACTTGTACTAAATTTTATTTTATGTAATATTGGACTGAGTTGAGTATTTAAAAGCATAAATGACACGATATGGGCAGTGGAAAGTGGAAACTCATAGCTTATCCCAACTTGCTCGGGTTTGAGGCCTAGTTGTTATTTAATGTACATTGATGATAGGAAGTGATCCAGGTGATAGTTCTTGCCACTAGTAATTTATGCTTCTTGTTCTGTGGTTCAATTCTGATTTGGTTTATTTGCTACACAGATAATTCGCTCTTGTTGCAAAAAACTGCTGTTGGCTAGAACATGGCAGATGGAATTTCCCAACCAAGAAAACCACGTGATCTTCTGATGGGCATTCTTTAAGATTGCCGACAAATGTAGAACATAAAGAAGACCCTGTTCTTTATAAAATTTATATAAAATTAAATTTAAAATCAATAAAGCATAACTAGAACCATCTTGGATCTGACTCAATATTCTGTTGTCTTTCTCAGTAAAGTTTTAACATTGAATTCATTATATTTTTAAAATTATGGGTTCATATTGGTGTATATTACAATATTAATAAATATTTACATATAAATTTATGCTCTGCGCCAAAAGTATTGGGTTCAGTTGAACCTGGTACCGATACCATTCGCCTCTGAAATAGTTAATCACCATTCAGTAACAAGTGTGGACAATCTTTAAAAAAAATCGGTATATCAAGATAATAATATATATTATACGAATCAAACTGCATTAACTAGCCCATAATCACATAAAAGTTTTGTTTTTATTTTAATGAGATTTTTCTTCAATAACTACATCCCCCCACAAAACTTCTCCCAATGTAAATGGCAACAATAGATTTTTTTATTTTTTTTTTTTATTTGGAATTGACAGAGTTGAATATGACAAAAAAAGAAAAGGAGGAGAATAATGAGAATGACGAATATTTCAGAAATTATAAAGGACGTGGTCAATATCAAATATAGTAAGAGGGTTTAAGATAGTGACACACTGATATATTTGTAGAAGTAGGACAAGCTGTCTTAGGCCGGCAACCCATGTTAAAGTTCACATGTTCTCCCCCATTAATTATTATAGTTGTTTAAAAGTCCAAAATATTGGTGAATTATGTAGCTCTTTTAATTTGTTTGAAAGATTACTTCTACTATTACTAAAGTTGGAATAAATTTCTGGTTTCATGCTTCAATCTAAAGTGATTCTTTACTTGATAATTAATGCATGGTAGTTAAAAAGTGGCCATGCAAAGTTTGTAATAATTGTTTTACTTTCAGAAGGCTGTTTAAGTTCACATCAATATATAGTCAATCTTTGGAAAAAGATAATAGTGATTTCACCATTAAAGGCTTTCTTTTTCCTTTTCCAACCATAAAGATAAAAAGGGGATTCTTCTTTTCCCACTAGTAGGTATTCTTTTTTTTTTTTTTTTTTTTTTTTTTTNAGTAAGTGAACCTGACCTATTGAATCATGACTATATCCGCTATTCTGATATTAAAATTCGATAGAGATGAAATTGGAGCAGTTGATTTTTTTTTTTTTTTTTTTTTTTTTTTTTTGGAATTCTATTTGCACTTATTTGTTATCCTTGAGGGCAAAGATGTTCGTTGAACGGTTTTTCCCTAAAAAGAAATCAAACCAAGTAAGTTGATTTTTCAAATATTAGAACTAAATCAAATCAATTAAATCAGTTTTTTTCTCGATTCGGTTTATGTCGGGTTTTGTCGGGTTTTCGATTTGTTTCAGTTGTTTGGCGGTTTTTTCTTGGATATAAGACATACACTAGGCGACTACATTTTCAACGTAACACTATCAAATCAATTGCCCTTTGAGAAATCTATCGTTTACCAAGATATATTGATGATAATTGAATCAAATAGTGACAAATAATTTATGGGCTCAATTAAAAATAGATTATTTTTAACATGAAATGGATTCTTACACTTAACAAAAGAAAACACTAATCAAACTAGAATGCAAAGGTAAAGAACTGTACTAAAAGTACAAACGATTAACATCTACCATAAAATTTTAGAAACTTTGTACAAATATATATATATATANATATTTACTATAAAATTTTTAAAACTTTGTATAAAAGTATACATATATATAGGTGTAATAATAAATTTAAAATAGCTACTTTTATTGTCGGTTTGATTCGATTTTTTCCGATTATTTCTTGATTAAAACCAAAACCAAACTAAATTTAATCGGTTTTTAAATTTCAAACCCAAAACCAAATCAAACCAAACCAAAAAATATGAAATTTTTGGGTCGGTTTGATTTGGTTCGATTTTCGAGTTTTATGAACACCCCTACTTGAGGGAAGGTCATGTATTACACGGTGGACCTACGTTACAGATAGAAGGGTTATTGGCACCCAAAAAAAATCGATAACAATTCTACGTATACATTTATATGTCTTTAGAAAATAGTATATTCTAGTGGTACCACATATAACAAAAAATTAGTTGAATGCAAAATTACATCAGATAGCATTCATGAGTCACTAGTTCAATTATCCCTCAAAAACAGGATTGAGAATTACCATGCATGGTTGCTCCCGTCATTTTTTTCTATTCCACTACCTTCAAATTGTGGGTTTGCCTCTAATTACACCCCTATACCTTCTAGGACATAAAAGGAGCTTCACTCACTTGAAAAGTTGAGGGGAAAAAAATATCAAAATTTAAACTAAAGAATTAGGGGTCGTTTGGTTTGAATACGACTTATGTCGGGATAAGTTATACTGGTATAAGTTATGCCGGAATTAGTTATACTAGGATTGTTTTTTATCCATTGTTTGGTATGTTGTATTAAATATGACAATTGCATGATTTGTAAGAAGATTGTATAAGTTATACCGGTGCTAATTACCTCACCCTTATAAGATATAAGTTACGAGTTTGCTAATCAAACGAAGTATTAAGTAGGGGTGTTCAAAATCGAACCGAACCGAAACTGAAGCTTAATGGTTTATTGGTATCGGGTTAACGATTTAACGAACGGGGAACGGATTGAATTTTTTTTATTAACGGCTTATCGGTTTGGTGGCGGATTATTCAATTCTCTTAACGAATAATCCGTTAAACCGTTAAGACTATATATATAATTTATTTTTATCCATATATATATTAAATATCAAAAACCCTTCCACTTCCAGTACTCCATCTCTAACGCCTAATTCCTAAATACTCAAAAACCCTAACGCCTAAATTTCAACCAGTAGGTATGTGTACCCTACTGTATGATCTCTCTCTGCAATTTGAATGTTTTAGTTGAATGGATATTCAATAGCATATGATCTTAAATCAATAAGGAAACAATAGTTTTTCCTCCATTGAAATATTACTAGGCTACTTGTATAATGTTGCTATATGTAATGAATAAGGAAATGTTGTTTTCTCAGTTTGATGATTATGATCGCTCTTCAATGCCTATAAATAATGACTGGTACAGTGATTCCCATTCATATTCTTGCTTTTCTATGTGATGGTTGGCAACCATTGCTTCATCTTTTCACTCTACAACACATGACACACTACATCATTCTTACGTAGGCGTTAATTATTAATCAACACACTATAGATTGAAATAGGCTGATAACCGTCCGATAAGAGCTAAACCGATACTAATCTGCTTGATATCTTATCGAGTGGCTAACGGATTAATACATTTAAAAGCCGATAACCATTAAGCCAAATCGTTAAGAGTAATTAACCGCCCAATCCGCCCGATAAGCAACCCTAATATTAAGGTGATATTAAATTTTTATATCAACATTATATCTTTGTATACCTCATACCAAACGACCCCTTAAGGTACCGTGTACACTAGTCACTTTTTAACTTTTTCCTTTTTGCAGATTCATCTAAAATATCTTTCACTTTATTCTCTTCGAAAGTTGGTAAAGTATGTTTTGATGTTATAAATATCTACAAGTAATATATTTCTACGGGTTCCAAACAAACACTATATATTACTCTTGTTTATCGTGTATATAGGTATTTTAGGATTTTGAATATTATGAGTTCAAGTTCGAATTTAACATTTTATCACAACTCATTTCATTTATTGCATTCGAAATATATCATTTATGCTTACTTGGTAAATTTTTTAACACTTATATATGCTATGAGCCAAAATTATTAAGCACGGATGAATTTATAACTAGTGTACTACATCTGCATCTGATCGTGAATAATTTCTTTTATCATATCTCCACCTAATTGTCTATTTAAGTATAATTTTAAATTATCATTATAGTGTACCTATCATTCAATGAATGAAAATCATGAAAGGCAAATTTTAATTTCTAGTAAAAGACAAAATATTAGAATATCTTCCTATCTGATAGTCAAGGTATATGGGTAGCTAAATACCTTCTTTTTTTTTTTTTTTCAAATTTCAAAATAAAGATATCAACTTTAAAGATTTTCACCTAACTAAATATTAGACTATTACATTAGATCAAAATAGAAAAAATCTTTTGGCAAGATTAAGTCCACTTAATTAATTAAGGTACCCACAAAACCATTTGAAAAAGGCAAAGAGAGACCACCAAAGTATATGATGCACTGGATGAGACTGCTTTTTTCTTAACCAGATGTCTTGGATTCGAATTATTGTTATGAAAAAATCTTTGGTAGAGAACGTGTCCCCCCAAATGATGTTCTAAGCGAGAATCCGGATATAGTCGGGCTCCAATGCGAGTATTGGATGAAAGCCAAAAAAGAGGACAGAGAAACAAGGCGGGAATTCAAGAAAAGGAAAAAAACAAAAGACTCAATTTTTTTATCTAAAGCTTTCAAATCCGACTTCTCAATCAAATATTGTACGTGCCGTCCTCTTCTAATAAAATTATCTATAATTTTCCCTAACGTGAATCCCTCTCTCTATATTCTATATTTCTCTTCATCTCTTCTTATGAACTATTTCTCCTTACTCTGAATTCCTTTTCTCCATTTTTTGGTTTCTGGGTTTTGTTTTTTATTTGAAAAAATGGCGAGTTCTAATGCTACAGGTAGACCATCATCTTCACATAAGTCTGAAAGATTACCTCCTCATAATGCTTCTGGAAGAAATAATGGGGCTGTTAATGGTAACGTTAATAATGCCACTGGACAGCAACAACAGCAGCAGCAACAACAGCGTTCGAAAATAAATTCAAGACGTTCTGTTACACCCACTTCACGAATTCGAGCTCCTCCTCAAGACAATGACCCAGGTACCTTTTTTGTTAGAAAAAGTTTAATGGGTATATTGTGTTAGTGAATTTAGAATTTTCTTGTTATAATTGGTTTTTGTTGGTGGTTATGGAAAAAATGAACATTCTTGTATTTGGGTACTTACTGGTTTGTGTTTTTCCTTTCGAGGGTCTTGTGTTTGTATTTGTGAAAAAAGTCGGGGGTCTTTCAAAAACAGCCTCTCTACCTGCCGGGTAGGGTTAAGGTCTGCATACACACTATCTCCCCAAACGCAACTTATGGAATATTACTGGGTTTGTGGTTGTACTGGTTTATGTTTTGTTTTTTATTTATTGAGGATTGAGTTGTACTCCCTCCGTTCCATTCTAAGTGAGGATGTCTGAATGTACATAGAGTTTAAGAAAGAAAAAATGTGTCCTTTTCTGGGACAGACTAGAAGAAAAGTGTGACACACAAGGGACAAGGAAGTAATACTCTTGAAAAATGTTCAGACATGAAGTTGTTGATGTGGCAGTTACATAACATTTGAGTTGTATAAAAAGGGTCTTTTCCACACATGAAAAAGGAAAATAGAAAAGGAAGAGCTAAGTTGAATTTTGGTACGGAAAGCTGTATATTTTTTGTTTTTATCTGGAAGTGAGATTTGAAGTGTTTGAGGTGAGAGTAGGGTGCATGATGTGTAACTTTGGTTAACAAATGTTGGAAAATTTTGTAATGTGGAGATCCTTTAAATTAGTTGTGATGCGCTAGTCATTTTACCCCCTATCATTCAGCTCATGTTATTGGTGCAAGTAAAGGTGCTGACAAAGTTAGCGATCAATCAATCAACTGCACCTCAATCTCAAACTCTGTATTTATTCCTTTATATCGACGTCCATTAATACTATTGCCCATTTAACATTAGAACCGGATGCTAAAGAAAATTGCAATTCCAGGGAAAAAGTATTTTTTTTTCCGGTTAAACCCCGATTAGGATATGGCCTCATCTCCCAAATCCACATGAGCATTGAGTGACGGTTGACCAACAGAGCCTTCATGTTTGAGCCAAAAAAAGAAGAGAATAATGTGTAAGACTATTTAACATAGAATTTTGCAAGTGGAAAGTGGATAGGAGAAAGTCTGGTTTTTGGTAAAGTTCTAGGCTTCTATGAGATTATCAAAAGGATTCATTTTTGTTGAGAATATTAGGGCCGCACTTTGCTTCTAAGGTTCCCCCATGCCCCAATTGACGTGTAACAGTCCAGTCCGCTAGTGATACTGTCAGCTATGGGCCTAGGCCCTCATGGGTTTAAAACGCGTCAGGGCCTAGGCCCAGAGTGGACAGTATCACTAGCGGGCTGGGCTGCTACAGATGGTATCAAAGCATCTGTAACAACCCAACCCGCTAGTGGTACTGTCCGCTCTGGGCATAGGCCTCACGGGTTTAAAACGCATCACTAGGGTTTAAGGCTTGTTAACTTATATACCCAGCATCTCTCTTGTGTTTTGCCGACGTGGGACTTTGTCTAAAGTCTGGGGTGTTACATGACGTGACAACAATAAAGGAATTTTCATGAATTGATTGGTGGGGAAACAATGGAATGATCTACAGGCTCAAGTAATGTGCATAAGAAAAATCACCTTTTGCATGAAACAATCAATGAGTAGTGAACACCCACATTACCTAGGATTATCTACTATACAAGCCGCTTTTATACCATACGCCATTTCAGTTAGAGTTGTTATATGCAATGATAATCACATCTTAAGTCCTTGTTAGGGATTGTGGTAAGTATGCAATTGTCAGATATTATGTGCTGTGGACCTGTTTGTACATGTTGTATATTATCTTATGTCATCATTAAATTTGGTCATTTGTCAAAATCATGCAACATACTGAGCAAATACAATGAAATTTCCTAGAACCTGGAAGAGTTAGAGTAGCAGTCAGAGTTCGACCAAGAAATGCCGAGGATCTTCTTTCAGATGCTGATTTTGCGGATTGCGTTGAAGTGCAGCCTGAGGTGATTAATCTCTACTGCGAATTTGCATGTCTATTTGTCTTTTTCCCTGTCTTTGAATTCGTTATAACTTACGAAATTGATCTAACTACTTCCTTAATCATGCAGCTCAAGAAGTTAAAGCTGAGAAAGAACAATTGGAATTCTGAGTTTTACAAGTTTGATGAAGTTTTTGCTGAAAGTGCTTCGCAAAAGCGCGTTTATGAGACAGTTGCAAAGCCTGTAGTTGAGGTAAGTGGTGTGGTGGCAGCTACAGTGGGTTGAACAAGATATAGAAGTGTAGTCTATACTCTGTAGTGTGCTATCATAGAAATTAGCAAGTTTTCATGTATTTGTTTACATTAAATGTCCATGAAACTTCTTGGGAGTAATTCAGTTATGAAAAGCTAGTAGCTTTTGGTTATGGTTTATGATAGGTTTTTATTGGAATGTTTATTTTATTTAGTTTGTTGATGATTACTAGTAAGCAGTGATAGGTTATGAAATGTAGTTATGTATATAATTCATTTGACTCGGGAAGATATAGTTAGCTCTTGTATTCAATGATCAGGGCATTGAGTTTCACCGCAGTTGGATATTATCTGTTGTAATAAATTCCAACTTTTAATCAGAGCTGTGAATTTCCTCTACCAACTGCCCAATTAGCTAAATAGGCGTAGGAGAACTTGAGTTATTGTTGGAACCTGCCAGTCGCAATCCTGTCAGACCTTTTTGTGATTCCTTCTCCCTTCTAACTATGAAAAAGAGTGAGAGGGGTCCAAAAGCCCCCAAAGAGCAGAAAAGAATTTCCAGGAAGCGGTTAGCTTAAGACAAACCGCTTGCTTTCTCAGCCTTTCCATGAAACACCATCCCTTCCCAAAGACCAACATTAGCACACGTTCCTATTCTGTGAGAAATGCTATTGCTACTTTTTTTAATATATATTTAATCACTAGTAATTACTTACTAAGACTGTATTTCAAGTTACTTGAGGTTGATTGATGTGCATTCTTGTTGGCTGTTAAAGTTTATGTCATACTAAATACAAGCTAGACTGATCAATTAAAGGTGTATCTAAGACTAATGTTGTCTTCTAGAGTTGGTGAAAGATATGGATATTTTGTGATCCCAATGTTCAGTGAAACTATTTTGTCCTAACAAACATGAAAGATACTAGTAGGGTTTACGTGGCTCTCTATTTGAGTAAAACCTACAGAACCTTTATTATGCTATACAACTATGGATTTCTTCCTTTTTTTTCTTGATTTATGTTGTAGGAAACAAAACCATGGTTTGATTTTGTGTGTGACTATTTTATTTCTTGTTTAATCTGCGTAAACGTAATTTGATTGATTTTTGCAGAGCGTGTTGAATGGATATAATGGGACAGTTATGGCTTATGGTCAAACAGGTACTGGCAAGACTTATACACTTGGTAGATTGGGTAAAGATGATGTCTCGGAACGTGGCATCATGGTTAGAGCTTTGGAGGATATTATTGTCAATACAACCCCCGCATCTGACAGTGTGGAGATGTCCTATGTGCAGGTATTCATATTGGTTAACATGATGAAATCTGTTTGCATAGGTATCCGAGTTTGTATCTTATGTAGTAGAGCACTGCATTTTAACTTATGAAGCTACAGATATGCAAATTAATGAATCCATGTACACTGATAGCAAAGACTAAGCAAAATCCAAGAATTTGGATTTTAATGCTGTTTGTAGGTTTGTCGCGCAGTTTGCTTTTGCATTTAGAAAATTTAAAACTCGGACAGGAAAATGGTTGTTCATTAGGTATAAAGTTTGTTGAATAGCTTGAAGTTTTAACTATTAATCTCATACATTCAACATTAGGGATAGCCAGCATCAGATGTTTCTATTGGCATCTTGACATCCTCTATTTCCTTGTTAGCAGTAAAATTTTCTTACTACTGCCCAACTCTAGAGAAAGGTGGTTATACTGTAATTAATGTAGTCATTGCATCTGATCCAAAAACTGGAAATATGTAAGAGAAGTGGACAATAGGTGAATGCCCTTTACAACTTAATGCTTGTAGAAAGTGTTCTTATTCTCTTGAATCGGTTAAATTTTAAATGTGATAGCATTACCTTGAAAGTATTCTTCAACGAGAAAAATACTTTTTGAGATATATTAATGAGGCAGTTCAATGCTAAGCTCTTTTGGGAATTAAAGATATAAGACATCATTCTGGTTGTTGGACATGTCGATGCTTCTCAACTGGGTAGCTTGATGAGTGATGACCAATGCTAGATTTTGAGGTTCAACATTTGATTGAATGGTCACTATAACTTCTATGTTCTTGTCGAGATTAAGAACCTTTTGAGACGGTAATTACTGTCACATGGTCAGACTTTTCAATTAGAAAAAGAAGCACATCAAAGCAACTTTTTACTATTGCTGTACCTTATTGCCGCCTAGTATATTTCCATCTACTTATTCTTTTAATTCTTTAACACATCATTAAATTTATCAGGAAAAAGTTTATACCAGTAGTGGTGTAAATTTGTCCATATATTTTCTTCCGAATGGTCTAACATTTATTTGTTAGTTGTTATGGAGTCCGTTGTATCTATGAGTTTCACGGCTAGTAACTGACATTGTAATTGATGCATCAGTTGTACATGGAGTCTATCCAAGATTTGCTTGCTCCTGAAAAGATAAACATCCCAATTGTCGAAGATGCTAAGACTGGAGAAGTATCTGTCCCTGGTGCTACAGTGGTCAAGATTCAGGATCTTGACCACTTCTTGCAACTACTGCAAATTGGAGAAGCCAACCGTCTTGCAGCAAATACTAAGTTAAATACCGAATCATCACGTAGCCATTCAATTCTTATGGTATGTATTAACTCTCCTCGGCTATTCTTTTATTGCAAAAAGTTGAGGAACGAAGATACACAACTTTATTTTGACCATTTCTCCTGTTCCGGCTCATGCATTTAAGATCTTTAAAATTAAGCATACTTCGTATAGAAGGTTTCGCGGAAAGAATTTGTAGGATAATTTCAGTACATCTTTCACCAAGGAGATGCCACCAAATTCCGATAGTGGCATTAGCTATAGATAGGAAAAATTGTTCCATCAATTTCTGAAGCCTGTCTATCCTGGCTTCTTATCAGATATCTAAATTATAATGTTGTCCACGAAGTATTTTCACCTTATTTTCATGACTTATTCTTATCATAACATTTTTGATCGATTTACTTTTCTTTGCAAACTATTGCCACTAGGTCTCATGGTGCTATATATTTCTCTACAATGTGTGTTAGAGTGTCCCACATTAATGAGGGAATAGACTGTTGTCTCCTTATATGGGCCTAGCCAATTCTCACCTCATGAGCTCGCTTTTGGGGTTGAGCTAGCTCAATGTCCATTTTCTGTACATTGGAATCAGAGCGAGATCCATTCCTGTACTTTGTTTATGCAATGTTCGAATCCCATGTTATTTTATTCACACTCCAGACGTCTAGTCCTAGGTCTGTCGGAGAGTGTGAGAGTGTCCTACATTGGTGAATGAAAGCAATTGTTGTCTCCTTATATGTTTTTGGACAATTTTTACCTCATGAGCTAGCTTTTGATTTGAGTTAGGCTCATTGTCATTTTCTTTACACAGTATTATACTCAGACCCATTGTTATTCTTGATTGCATAATGTTGGACTCCCATATTATTTTTTCCACGCTCCGCTCCAGTCCTGGGCTGTGCAGAAAGGTGTTAGATTGTCCCACATTGGTGAGGGAATAAGCTATTGCTTTCTTATATATCGTGTGCAATCCTCTCCTTATGAGCTAGCTTTTGAGGTTGAGTTATGCCAAGGTCCACTTTCTCTACAGTGTTTAACATAGTTTTCTGAACCGTAACATGCTTTTAAAAAAAAAATCTTATTACAAGACAGGTAACATTTCTATTAATTTGTCCTGACTTATCCTTCTTCAGGTTAACATCCGTAAATCTGTAAAAATTGATGAAGAAACCGACTCTTCTTTTGGAGAGAAAGACAGCAAAACTGATAGACATGGCAATCAGATACCTATTGTTCGTAAAAGCAAGCTGCTAATAGTTGATCTTGCAGGATCAGAGCGAATAGACAAATCTGGTTTGTTATTCTTATATTCAAACTTACAAGTTCATTTTGATTTCTTATTTGAAATCTTCACACATAGGCTGTTTCTGGGAGGTGGGGACATTGTGGTAGTGTGGTGATCGAAACTTGAAGAAGTGAAAGCCTGCAATACATGTTCATAAATCTCTTACTTTTATTTGGTTCATTCTCCAGATTAATAAACATAGTCTTTGATTCTTTCACTGTGTTGCAGGGAGTGAAGGTCGCTTGTTGGAAGAGGCTAAGTTTATTAATCTCTCTCTTACTTCTTTGGGAAAATGTATAAACGCCCTGGCTGAGAACAGTCCTCATATACCTACAAGAGATTCTAAACTAACACGGCTTCTTCGTGATTCATTTGGAGGTTATTTGAATTTTTCTCTCACTTACTTTAGCTCTTTTAGATCTCAAAATATTGTCCATTGTCATGTAGAGGTTACTTGCAAGTAAGTGTAATCTTGTGCCCTGTTCTTTCACTGTATGTTTGATTGTTTGTATGTAAGAGCATGTGCTCTTATGCCCTGTTCTTTCACTGTAATGTTTGAATCTTCTTCACTTGAACTACTTGTCCTCTCAGTCCGTGGAGTTAGTTATTCTAGCTCTTCACTACTATAAATATATTTTAAAAATTTATTGTGTATTTTTCTACATGTGGATATATATATTAGTAAGTAGTATCCTGTCCCAAGGAGTTTGGCGTGAACACTCTATTCAAAAATCTATTATTTGGCCTCCCAAATAAATTCCTGCTTTATATGACCTCAAATAATTTTACCCTACATCCACCATGAGTGACAACAACAACAACAACAACAACAACAACAACAACAACGACGACGACGACGACGACGACGACGATGACGACCCAGTAAAATTCCACTAGTGAGGTCGAGGGTAGTGTGTAAGCAGACCTTACCCCTACCCCGAGGGAGTAGAGAGGTTGTTTCCACCATGAGAGACCAAAGTTCAATTCCCATCAAGGGAGAAAATAACGCTAGTTAATTTTTTACTAGCTGCATAAGCTTTACTGGGTAGAGTTACCTAGTATCTGTCTATATTGCACGGACTCTCCAAAAGGCCACCGCATCCATGTCAGATCCTTAAAAAGTGTACTACTTTTGGAGGATCCGACACGCATCCGATGACATTTTCAAAGAATCCGAGCAACGTAGGTATCTGTGTTGATGGGAGATAGACACTACCATTACTAAAAAAAACTACATCTACCACTACCTGTACCTCATTGATCTTCAATTAACATATAAGTTCACAACAAAGAATGTTCCTTCTTTTTTGATTAAGAAATGTATGTTCCTTGTGAAGTGATAAAGAAGATAACAGTTGAATTGATTCAAGCTAATGCTCAGTAAAATGAATATCTATGTGGCTTTTATATGCGTAAGAATGAATTTTCATGTCTAAGTTGATTCCAGATATTAGATTGCATGTTGTATGGGAAAGGTTTTGGTAGCTATTGCAGATAATTGTGACTAACTTCTGTTCTTCCTTTCCTGAAAGCTAAAATATCACTCGATCTATCTATTTCTCTAGACACATGTCTAATTATGACTTGACTATTGAATTTTTCATTACTGGATGGAGTATGGACTGTACACTTCTGTATACATTAATTGCTCATCATGCCTGATTGTGACGGTTTCTATGGTTTGTATCTAATTTGTGTTTGACAGCCTAGGCTGTAAGTTTGTATTACGTGAATGCAATTCTTGGCTTTATTGGTATTTGATTATTTGAAAATAATATAAGCTAATGAAACAGGTTCTGCACGAACTTCACTTATTGTAACTATTGGACCATCTTCCCGACATTATGCAGAGACCACAAGCACAATAATGTTTGGACAACGGGTGAGATTGGTGCTCTTTTATTACGTTCAACAATTTGTTTATAGTCCTTTAGCCTCTCAACTGTCTTCAGTTTTCCTACTGAATTATACTTGCACAATCTGTCATCTTATCTTTAATCTGGTTCCGCAGAGACTCATGTCTTTACTACAAGTATCTCTCATATTGAAGGAGTGTTAACCATTTGGTCTTTCAACCAACTTGATTCTTGTCTCTGTTTTGAATGCCTAAGCTCTCTTTTATCTATAACATTCGGCATATGTCAGAGAACGAAGTAGTTCGTCTGTGCTTTCAGCCAATGCAGCAGCTTAGCCTTATTCTGCTTATCATTGAACTGATCTACAGAGAGCCTTCTTATAAGAAGTTACACACTTGAAAGCAAAATATGAACTGATCTACAGAGAGCCTTTTATTACCTTTTCCTGTCCATCGCTTTTGCTTTGCATCTACTTTCTCATTTTCATGATGTTATTTTTCCTATGTTTTCTATTGGTGGTATTGATATTGTCTCTTTTCGTCTTCTTAAGCTGAGAGTCTTTCGGAAACGGCCTCTCTACTCCCTCGGGGTATGGGTAAGGTCGTCGTACACACTACCCTCCCCAGACCCACTTGTGGGATTTTACTGGGTCGTTGTTGCTAATCATGACATGACAGACTGCATTCTGCCAATTTATGACCCAAAAAGTTTGCGCTACTGCTGATATATTATACCTGTTATGCTGTTTTGAAGTTGACACTTCACATTTTTCTTGCCACATGAGCTAACATTCACCGCTTTATACAGGCTATGAAAATAGTTAACTCAGTAAAGTTGAGAGAAGAATTTGATTACGAGAACTTATGCCGTAAGCTAGAGACTCAAGTGGAGCAACTCACTATGGAGGTTGATAGGCAGCAAAAGTTTAGGGCAAATGACCAAATGGCTATGGAGAAAAAACTCAGAGAGTGTCAAACATCATTTACTGAAGCAGAGAGAAGTATAGTTGCCAGGTCCGAGGTAATTCTTTTGACCTCTTTTGTTTTGCTTTTGAGATTGGATTTCTATACATATGCTTTCTCTGAGGTTGAGCTTGTTAAACAAGGAATCCTTATGCCATCTTCTCCTTTTTATATTTCTTCTCATTCTGAAGGTTAGTGAACTGATATAATTTACTTCCATGATTTCTATTTCCCTGCATGCATTGTATCCTCTGCAGTTTCTAGAGAAAGAAAACAGTCGCTTGATGTCTGATGTTGAAAATCTGTTGGAGGAGTTAAATCGCCAGAAGAAACAGAGCAATTCAATGAAAAATGAGATTGTGAAGCTAGAATCAGATTTTAATAATAGCAAGGTATGTTTGGCCGAATGACTTCTTTTTTCAAATGTTTTACTAACAATGAGCATTTAGTTCCAACCCCTGCAAACTTTGAACTTTCTCAAACCAGTAGCCTAAAGCTCCTAAGCTAGTCTTATCTAATTTCAGCTTCTGGAGAAGGAGAATGGCTGTTTAAAAGTGGAGTTGGAAAACGTACTGAAAGACTTCAACATAGAGAAAAATCATAATAATTTATTGCAGGATGAGGTTGTGCGCCTTGAAACGAGTTTAAAGCAGAGCAAGGTATGTGGTTGACCAATTATGCTCTTTTCACATATTTCTGTTGAAAGTTATACAGAGCTATTTTTTTATCCTTTTATATATTCCCCTTTACCTATTTCCTCTGTTAGACTTAGTAATTAAGTTGCATATGTACCGACATACTAGTGTATGTATTAGTGTTCCACATTGGATAAATGTATTGTTTACATTCCTTATCAAAAGAAACAGTGTATTGCTTTAGAAAGTAACTATCAAATAAGTCAGCTGTAAGGAACTTGTTTTCTCATAAAAAAGAAATTAGTTTTCTTTTGTTTTCCAAGTCTCACTTTCTTTTTATTTTTCCTCACGTCTTGGTTATATGTTTCTTTCATTTATTTATTTTACAACGAATATTAAGCCCTTCAAACCTCTCTGGTTTTCTGTCTAAACTCTTGTTGAATAATCAGTGGAAATTAAAAATTTGTCATGTTATAGATTATATTATTAAGGTCGACTTCAAACCATTTCATGTACTTGCTGAACTCCTACTGAAATGTTCTTGTGGAAATTGAAATTTTTACTATGATATTCTTTAAGTAGTTGGCGATTTGGAGATTTGGAACTTTAATTTGCTTCATGGTTCTGATATTATGCTTTTTTAGTAGCTTTGAGTCCAGTTTTCTGTCATAAACTGGACATCGTCTTCTCATTGATTCGCTTGAGGCACTAACCTTGTTGGTTTTCTGTTAGTAGCAACGACAGCTAGAAAATTCATCATATCAGAAAATACTTGCTGAGAACACTCAATCGTATGAGAAGAAGATAGCTGATCTGATGAAGCAATTAGAAGATGAGCGTGCTCACTCTGAAAATGCTCAACAACAATTAGAACTGATGAAGGAGCAATTAACAGGCCTTGAGGAATTAATGCAGGTTCACCATTTAAACTGGAATGCTCTTTTTGCTTTATAAGACATCCACTTCCAATTTTTTTTCTGAATCCATGGCTCTTACTTTGTTAAAAGTTTTTTCTTAGCAAAAATCAACTTACGCATAATGAAGTTGTAAAAGCCTATAATTAGCCTGTACAATGAAGTTAATCTAATTTTCTTTTGTCATCATGCTGAAACTAATTAGGAGCCCATTTTTGTTTCTATGACCTAGGTTGCTATGTAAAAGAAACTAATTCTGTTTTTTTTCTTCTGTCCTTAAAAAGCATCATCTAAAGCAAACATCTATATATCAGAAGGAACTTGCAGACACTACTCTGATGTATGAGGAGAAAATAGCACAATTGGAACAACAGTTAAAAGATGAGCATTCTCATGTTGAAAATGTGAAGGAACAACTACATGCAATTGAAGAACAATTTACTGATCATGAAACCTCAGCGAAGGTGAAGCTCAATAACTGTTTATAGAGAACTTCTAGCACTTTTCATTTTTATTTCAATTTTATATAATGTTTGCTTGAGATTAATTAAAATCGAGAACATGGTAAATGAGGATTCATATTGCTTTTCCTGATTGTAGATTCAGAGGGAAAAAGAGATCGATGCACTTAGATCCAGATTAGAAGACATGCATCAGCTGTATGAACCAACTGTGGAGGAACTTCAGACATTAAAAACAGAATATCAGGTTCTACTATCAGAAAAGGTATGTTAAGCACACTAACATTGTCCCCTCTAGGTTCTGATTAATGTTTAATTCACTTAAATTATATTACAATGCCCACCTTCCCTCTCAACCCTCCTGCAAAAGAAAAAAAAAAGTGAAAAAGGAAACAGCAAGAACAGGAAATGTTTTCGCATTCTATTGCATAAACAAAAACATAAATTCTGTAAGTGGAAAATGTACTTATAGATATCTTTGCTTCCTTAACATGATCCGTTAGAAAGCATTGCATGACGAACTACACGAAGTGAGACAAACACTTCTAATCGAGGAAAAGCAAAGGAAAGCTGCTGAAAATGAGCTGTTTAATATGAAGAAGCTTGTGCCTGAGAGTGAAGATGGCTTTGAGGTAAGTGTTACCATGGGAGTTCCTTGTCAATTATAAACCTTGGTTAGAGTTAACATCTGATATTTACAGGAGAAGAAGTCATATATGAAGCAATATACAACCAGTGGATCATTCAATATGCACAGATCAACTGAATCAAGGGAGAGAATTTTTGCCCATCAGAACACCATGACAAAGATAATTGAAGAGGGTAAATTTTTTAAATTCTAAAGTCAGGTCTCAGTGTTGCTGTATAATAGCATAATCATGTCTCTTTCGATTTATCTTTTGGAGTCCTTAAATTAACTAGGTTTAATGACTTTGCAATTCAGTTGGTGTCCAGAAGATTATCTCTTTGTTGTCATCAGCCGATTTGGATGTCCAAATTCATGCTGTGAAAGTGGTAGCCAATCTTGCAGCTGAAGGTCTGTATAGCTGACTTTTGAGTTGTATTCAAGTGTCAAAACTATGGTGTGTTTGTCGATAGCATCAAACAGAGTAGCTTGATATAAATCTTTGTTGGAATGGTAACTGAAAAGGATGGTTCTTTGGCTGGGCAGATACTCTGAATTACCTCTTGCAACTTCACAAAAAGCCATGACATTATTAGAGTTACGGCATAAATTGCAAAGTTGCAAAATATCTTTCCTAAACCTTTAAACATATCAACAAATATGTGCATTTGAGGTGAATGACATTAGGTTTTTATTTTGGTTATTACATAGATTTTGGTGCTTAATGTTATATAACAAATGTAATTGGCTAATCAATCAGAATTGAGAGGAAGAGAGGTGAAGAAGAGATTTTTAAGCCCACCATTTTATCACCTTGACCAAACATCTCACGACACGAGCTGACGACAGCCATGCAGCATGAAAGTCAACGTGCTCTACCATTCCTACTAGGTCCAGAACCTGATTGAACTCCACAAGACTGGCATGAACAAGTTATTGTCATTTTGATTCATGAAAAAGAAATCAACGCAGAGTCAAAAACTAAGTCCTTTTCTCTTATTTCAGACGGCAATCAGGAAAAGATTGTGCAGGAAGGTGGTTTAGATGCGCTTCTCATGCTGCTGCAATCATCCCAAAATACAACTATACTCAGAGTGGCTTCTGGAGCTATTGCCAATTTGGCAATGAATGGTACTTTAGAATCTTTTCTTCATTATATACTCATCTGTTCTAAGAATTTCCTCGGTGTGGATTTTTTCATTCACTGGAACCTTTATAACCATGTTTCCATCTCTTTTTAAAATGTCGATGAGGTAAGTTAGGATATTCTTCTTTGTGCTAGCCATAAAAGAAGAATATTAGACGCAATTGGGCAGAGATGAGGATGTTGAGGTGGATGTGCTGGCATACTATGATGGATAGGATTAGGAATGAAGTTATTCGGGAGAAGGTGGGCGCGGCTCCTATGGATGACAAGATGCGGGAAGCGAGGTTCAGATGGTTCGGGTACGTGAGGAGGAGGAGCCCTGATGCTCCGGTGAGGAGGTGCGAGAGTTTGGCCCTGGCGGGGACGAGAAGAGGTAGAGGGCGGCCTAAGAAGTATTGGGGAGAGGTGATTAGACAGGACATGGCGTTGCTGCAGATTTTCGAGGACATGGCCCTTGATAAGAACGTGTGGAGGTCGAGCATTAGGGTTGTACGTTAGGACGTAGTCGAGTCTAGGGGCGAGGCTAGTTCGATAGGGGTGGTCTTAGAATGCTAGGGATTTATGTTGTGTTCTCCCTATCCTTACGTTTCTATAGCATCTGGCTTATTTTCTGGTTTTGTTATTGCATTTCACCTATTTTCTAGTTCTTATAATGCTAATTATATTTCTTTGGTTTCTGTTCGATGGTACTAATATATTGTTCTTTCCCTTCTCTTCTCGTCTTTTCCATCTTCTTGAGCCAAGGGTCTTTCGGAAACAGCCTCTCTACTCCTTCCGGGTAGGGGTAAGGTCTGCGTACACACTACCCTACCCAGACCCCACTTACTGGGTCGGTGTTGTTGTTGTTGTTGTTGTTGTTGTTGTTGTTGTTGTTGTTGTATTAGATGCAATCCAGTAGAACCAGTTAACTGGGCCCAGGAGCTTTGACTGATCTATTTAGAGGACAAGGACAGATGAAAATGTGGAATAAGAAAAAACAGAAAGCTAACAATAAAAACAAACAAAAGGAGGAGGCTGCCAGGTGCAGAACTATTCAGGATATAAACACTCCTTTGTTTCCTTTCCCTTCTTCAACTTTCAAAAACCACAGGAATTTCCTTTAAACCATTCATTATAGAACGTTCAAGTGACAGTAATCTTGTGCATCAATCTGTCTATTTTTTCCAGATTAAAGGTGTAAACATCTGAATAGAATTGCATATCTGATCTAAGCTCACTATGATGTTCTGGAGAAAAACACAGTTTGACTATTATCCAGTCAGTTTGATGTTTTAGCCCTCTAAAAGCTCTTTTCTTTTCACATTAATCTGTTGTAAAGAGCTGATGCTTCCAATTTTACTTGCTTTGTGCTGAAAACTTTCAAATTTTAACCTGTTCAGAAATGAATCAAGCATTAATATCAAGTAAAGGAGGTGCTCGACTTTTATCCAATACAGCTGTCAGAACTGATGACCCCCAAACTCTTCGAATGGTCGCAGGAGCAATTGCAAATTTGTGTGGAAACGGTAGGTTATACTGTAGTATGTGTAGTCACTCTGCACAAAAGATGGAGAATTAATTTGCATTATGTTCGCTAAGCTTTCTACTTTCATGTGCATTCGTGGAGTGACTAGTGCTAGTTGTTCGCAATGCATTATCTTCCTCAACATCTTTTGGATTAAAAGAAACATTCTGTTTCCTTGACCCTCTGGCTGGATGATTTGTTCATTTATGGTTTTATGACAGAAAAGTTACATATTACGTTGAGAGAAGATGGAGCTGTTAAAGCTTTGTTAGAAATGGCTAGATCTGGAAACATTGACGTCATTGCTCAGGTTGCCAGAGGATTGGCCAACTTTGCAAAGTGTGAATCACGAGGAACAATTCAAGGTTTGCATGCTTCAGACGTGGATGTAATTACTATTTTCCTGTAGCATGCTCTTGACTTGTATTATTTTTCCAGGACATAGGAAAGGCCGTTCTACTCTTATGGAAGATGGTGTTCTAAGATGGTTGATAACCAACTCTAACAGTGCTTCTTCTTCGACAAAGCGCCACATTGAACTTGCTCTTTGCCATTTGGCACAAAATGGTTAGCTACTTGTCCAAACTTATTTCTTGTTATAGATGATGATTCAGGAAACCTATTAGAGTAATATGCAGATGTATATAGTTTTTATGATAGTTGAAAACAGCTAAACCTTCTGGCCTAGTTTGTTCCTTGGCAAGTGCTTGTCTGGGGATATAATACTCTCTGCCTCAAAATGACCATATATGAAGTTATTTATAGTACTTAAAAAGTAAAGATTACATTTTGCAAGTTTCTAGATACATACATTCAAATTGAAATGAGAAGAAAACATAAATGTAAAACAGAGTGTTTTTGTAACTCTGTTGAACATATAACTAATATTATTAAGGATTCTGTAGTTATTAATCAATTTCCCGCCTGCATATCCTTGAAAATCATTTTTGTCATCTGTATGAGTTGAGCTTAAAAAGAAAAAGAGTGAGGATTCATATCTCGACTCCAACTTGTTTTGGACTGCGGCGTGGTTGTTGTTGATAGTTAATCTTAACGTGACTATGGCTAATGGTAACTTTAAGTGTTGGGTAACATATGTTTGTGCTTCCTGTATTGTTCCCGAGCTTAACATATGCATTTGTCTAGGTGTGAATCCTCTCAAACAAGAAAAAACTGCATCAGTTTCTTCATGTTCCATTTTTTCTGTCTTGGTCACACAGCTGCAGCCTTATGCAGTTGATGGATTAAACTTGGTCATCATGCATGTCAGGTAGTAATGCAATAATCATCGAGAGCTATTGGCTTCTTTTTCCTCTTTATTTCCTCCTATTATTCCTTTTCTGGAATTAGCATTGATAACACCCAACTATGCCTACAATTACAGACATACAATGAAGTATCCCCGCCCCACACTTAAAACGAAGACATGTCCCCATGGTTTAAAAATTTAAAGAACAGTGAGGTTAAGGAACTTCCCTGAAGGCTCACTCCTGATCGGAGACAGTTTCTGGGTTCACGTTGCACGCACGTCCCAACGCTCTCAACCAGCCAAGAATTTCTTCTCCGACTTCACTTGCCTCTTAGCCACCGCATCAACACGGGCACCCAAATCAGTGCTCCAAAGCTGTCATACGGGTGTTCCGGCGTGGCTGAGATGGGCCTGCCACATCAACTATCGGAGGAGGAGGAACCGCAGCTACCTCATCATCATCATCAATCATCAACATTCACCACCGGCTCTCGTCCAATTCCAATTTTTTTCGCCCGGAACGGGGCTTTTAGTGGCAATCTCCCATCAACCCGAGGGTCTTCAGGGACTCTAGCAATACGGCACAACCGGGTGATCAGCGAAGGGAAGTAGTGGCCCTTGGTTAGCTCAGGTGATCTAATGAACATCTCTTCATGGATGAGCCGGGCCACATCAAAATCACTGTGGGACATGAAACAGTGGATTGTGGACGCTCGTGGTAGATTAACATCTGTCGTGTTGCTGGATGGCAACAATCGACTGTTGACAATGGTGAGCCAACACTTAGCCTCCCAATTCAGACAGTGGGAGTTGAGAGTAATCCTGTGCTTGATCCATAGGTGTTCTCCGTCCGGCATACAAATAGTATCAAGAAGAGTTCCCCACAAGGCCCGTGTATCGCTAAAAGTACGATAAGGATCAAATTCACCCCGAAACACTGGTAGCCTGTATACCCTGCGGATGGTGTCGAGGGATGCGTTTACCGGGGTATTGCGCACCGTCACAATCCCATTCTCATGTTCTGGCAAGTTCGCATAGAACTCCCTTACTAGTTGAACATTAGCCTCCTCCGGTATCTCGAAGAAGATGTCCAGCTGACACCGCCTCAGCTCATTAAACATATTGGGGCATTCCACCTCCAAAGCCGTGCGATCAATGTGCACCTCATGTTGTAACTTCTTAGCTGCTTTCTGGTTGTACCTATCCTCCGCTGCTCTGGATACAAACCGAGTGCTATCGAACTGAGGTGCACTGGCTTGGCTCCTAGCTCGTGAGGAGCCTCCCGATCCACTAGTGGAGGGCCTGGTGTTTCGTCTCTTTCTAGCTGAACTCATTGCACCTGTCAAATAACGAAACGCCTATTAGTGAGTGCGCAAAATATGTGACTATGGATGGTTACTCAGACTTCACCATAACCATGTCACAATAGTTCNTTTGATCTTCTCACACTTGTTCTTGCCTCCAAAAGTAGTTTTAGAAAAACTTAGAACAATCTTGGGCGAGTTTCTAAAGCTTATAAGGGTTTACAAAAGTTTCCCCGAAATTACACTTTGGTCCTCAAACTTCCAGCAGCGTGAACAGTGCACCGCGGTCGCGGTCGACCGCGGTGAGAGCTGACCTTTCTGCCTCACGAGTTTAATCTATCGCGGTGGACTTCTTGCCCAGGCCATTTTCTGCTTCTTAGTGCTCGGGTACTTCTCGAGTGG